CGCTCAACCTAGAACCTACCTGTTGTCACCAGCACATGGGGTGTATCTGTACCATGTTTGTCTTTTGGATGACCAGCCGTCATGGCCCTGGGAAGCTATTGTTCGAGTACCCTCTGTCAGAATACGTGTAAAATAATGTCTGGTTGTGTTCAAGTCTGGCACAACATGCGCTAGGGCAGCGTGCGCTCTGTTGTCCCTGAATGGGAAGTAGATCGTAAACATTGCTTTGGAAGCTGTATATTTTTTGGGGCTACCTGCTCAACAGATCAGTGCCATCAGATTCCATCTTCCTCATGTATCGTGCAGTAGAGGTAAGAAACAGACAGGTAGTCTCGCACCAGATGAAAAAACATGCACGCTGCTTTTATTAATCCTCTGTACAGTCACAGTACTTGCAAAACCAAATTCTGCCTCATGCCACCCAACCACTGACCCGTTGGGGTGTGTGGAGTCAACGTCACGTTAGAAAAACAGGGTGAGACGGAAATTCCTCCATTAAACATATATTCTAACAAAAGCATCTGAATCGTAATAGTGCCCTGTCTTCAGTTTACACCCATGGTGATGTGAGGAAGGTTCAACAACATATGCTTATGTTTGCCACTCACCAAATGCGTCAGGTTTCTGAATGGTTAATTTGTGTTTAAATTTGAGTAGCTTCGTTTTGAAAACCAATGTTGTTTGCCAACGTGGGTTTGATGGAGCATCGGGGGTGGAAGCCGCCCTGGCTGTCCAGAGAAGGCTCACTGGGCTCATGGCCCCGGCCCGAGAGACCCTGGCCAGAGATCAAGGCCAGCGGAAGGTTGGGTGGGACCCCCGAGGACAGGCCTGTGCCAGTCCCCCCGGAGCAGTGCGGCAAGTAGACAGAGGGAAGCCAATTCATGTGGGGCCTCGCTGCAGCCGGCCCGAGACAAGGGGAGCACCCATGTCCCCAGGGCGGGTTCCCACGCAGAGGACCCGAACTTCCCTAGGTCACGAGCGGAGTGACCCTGCTCAGTTTGCTCTCGGAGGGGGGAGAACTGCTAACTCTCTGGCTGCTGTCTGTAGCACCACCAAGCAGACAAGCCATGAGTCACTATGCAAAGAGGGTATCCCAACTGGTTTGGCCAGCTGACCCCCATGGAGAGGAATAAAGGAAGGTGGATGCTGCCCTGGCTGGGGGGGCGGGGCTGGAGGAGAGTGAGTTAGTTCCTGGCTGGAAAGCAGGGGAGGAGCTGGGGAGGGGGCTGGGATTCCCCTATCTCAAGGGGGCACTGAGGCCTCTTAGCCCCAGTTCCTGTAACCAGATTACATCTGTGCTGTGCTGTGTCCTGGAGGAGCAATAAACCACCCTCAATTCCACTGGCTGGTGGAGTCTGTCTGTGCCATTTCGAGGTGCAGGAGACGGGGGACCCCATACCTATAGTCTCCTAGGACTGGAAGGGACCTTGAGAGGTCATTGAGTCTAGCCCCTGCCCTCATGGCAGGACCAAGTACCATCCCTGACAGATTTGCTCTAGATCCCTAAATGGCCCCTTCAAGGATTGAACTCACAAGCCTGGGTTTAGCAGGCCAATGCTCACACCACTGAGCTATCCCTCCCCCCAGCTGAAGTGTTAAAAAACAGGAAATGAGAGAGGACAATGCTGTGTCTGGAGTGTCCGTGACAGGGTCCAGCTTCCACTCCCCCTAATTTTGTGGCTCCTATTATAACGATTATTGGGGGAGACCAACAGTGAACATTATCATGGAAGGGAAATCTGGAGCTGTCGCTTACCCATATTATGGCCAAGAGGGTTTTTTTGGGGGGCGAAAGAGCGGGGGGGGGGGGGGGAGGGGGGGG